CCATGGTGTGTAGTGTGCTAGTGTGTCATAGACCAGGCCATGGTGTGTAGTGTGCTAGTGTGTCATAGACCAGGCCATGGTGTGTAGTGTGCTAGTGTGTCATAGACCAGGCCATGGTGTGCAGTGTGCTAGTGTGTCATAGAACAGGCCATGGTGTGTAGTGCGTAGGTGGATAGACACTAACTACACATTTGGTGTTACTGTGTTATAATAGAACAGGCGGTGGTGTGTAGTGTGAAGGGGGAAAGACATTAATTACACATTTAGTGTTACTCTGTTATAGAACAAGGGACGATATGTAGTGTGTACGTGGACAGACACTACACGTTTGGTGTTACTGTGTTTTAGAGCAGGCAATGGTGTGTAGTGTGTAGATAGATAGACTCTAAGTACACATTTGGTGTTACTGAGTTATACGACAGGCGACAGTGTGTAGTGTGTTAGTGTGTTATAGAACAGGACATGATGTGTAATTTGCTACTGTGTTATAGAACAGGCGATGGTGTGTAGTGTGCTACTGTGTTCAAGAACAGGCGATGGTATGGTGTGTAGTGTGAAGGTGGACGGAAACTACACAGTACACATTTGGTGCTACTGTGTTATAGAACAGGCGATGGTGTGTAGTGTGCAGGTGAACAGAAACTACACATTTGGTGTTACTGCGTTATAGAACAAGACACAGTGTGTAGGTAGGCACAAACTACACATTTGGCGTTGCTGTGCTTTCATTAATTTGCTGTGGATATTTACACATGACGCCATATTGGACATGGAAACTGAAGTATTGAGGACCTGCAAAGCAAACTGCAGTAACCGACCAACTGTCACTACTGCTCACGCGTTTTTTTTGTTGGGGGGGGGGGGGGGGGGTGTGATACGTATTTCTTTTGCTAGGGATTTACAAATTTTGGGGTATAGGATGATGAGGATGTCGACGACGACGACGATGATGATGATGAGGATGATGATGATGATGATGATGATGATGATGATGATGATGATGATGATGAGGATGATGATGATGATGCTGACCTGAAGGAATGGCTGTCTGTTGAGCTCATGATGCTGTACACCCTCACGTATCTATCCTGGCACGCCAGCGCCATGACACCTGTACAAGACACAGGTCAAGGTCACACTCTGTACAAGACGCAGGTCAAGGTCACACTCTGTACAAGACACAGGTCAAGGTCACACTCTGTACAAGACACAGGTCAAGGTCACACTCTGTACAAGACACCGGTCAAGGTCACACTCTGTACAAGACACA